CTCAGTTAGAAGATTAGAGATTGGGAAATTACAAAGATTCTGGTAACAATATAGTTCTATTGAAAATGCAATGTAGGTTTTCAGCGTGGTGAATGACATGCTAAAAATATAAGTTATTTGTGTCTAGCTGTAATTTAGGACTAAACTTAATCTATATGAAACTATCATTTTCTTTTAACAGAGTTTAGGTGAAAGACTTGTTTATCCTTGTTTCCCAAGATTTTCACTTAGCATCATGAAAGACAGCAGTACATTTTACCATGCACATCTGAATAGATTTTATATTGGTGTTGCTTTATAGATTATTAAGGTAGTTTAATGAGATCTTTCTCTCATTATCTGTGAATACAGAAAATATGCACATGTGCTTGTAAAATGTAAACAGGTTTTTGCTTTGTGAAATCAATGTTATATTTTCAATTTGTATTTAAAGTAAATGGAGTACAGGAAATTCAAATACTGGTTTTTAACTTTCAGGAGCCCCTATGACAGATGCTTCACATTCAGTTATACCTCTGGGTGGAAGGTAAACTTAAAATAATGTAGCTTTCTTTTTTGTATCAACTATGCATTTTCATGTGGTTTATCTTTCTCTTGGTGTGCTTTTTCTGCTCAGCTGACCTTTAGATAACTTTTGTTTGCTTGGCATTATAAAAGCATCTTCTCCTTCTTTGGACCATTATTTATGGAGAAACCATTACAAGTTAAACAAATGGCAAAGTGTCTCCGTGGTTTAATTAGCCCATGGAGTGTTCTTAATTCACAGTTTGTCAGTCAGGGATAAGTTTGCCACAGTTTATGGTATAACAGGGGGAACAGATGTCAAGTTGCTTCCTTCCCCCTCCTCAGTTTGAAAAAAACCAAAAGTAATTTTTTTGGTTAGTAAATGAAGATATTATAGTTGGAATACATAAAAAGTTGGTTAATGTGAAAACAGGCCTTAATTTTCTGTGCTTCTGTGATTGCTTCTCATTAAATGCTAAACATGATTTGAATATTTTGTATGCCCCAAACAATGTAGGGATAGGAGACTCCTGGCAATTCGCATGATATGAGTCAGATAAGCCAATATGCAGTTTTTTACTTTTGTGTTCTTGTTGGAAATAATTCTGGGAGATTGATTTTACATGACGGGTTGTAAAGCTTGAGGAACTTCCCAGAAATGTGATGTTTGTATTTTATAATGTCAATCTACTTGATTTGTTTATTTTTGTAGTTGTCCTCCTATTAAAGTGAAAATGGAGCCAAGCGGAGATTCTGGTATGTTCAAAATTTTGCCCTTATTTGCAAAAAAAAAAAGAAAAGTCTGAATTTAAGCAAATCTAGGAAGCTTAAATAAACAAAAGCAGCAAAAAGACATCTTTGGTGAGATGTAAAACCTTTTTTTTTCCTTGAAACTTTCTACTTTTTGGTTGGAGTTTTAATCAAATATTGAACCTTAGCTAAATGCTTCCATCTCAAGAGGGAGGAAATTTGTAATATATTGTAGACTAAAATAATTTATCTTTAAGTATTTTAGAAAAGTGGAAATTCCTCTGTTTTGTTTGGATTTGTTCTAATTCAAGATATCTTTGTCCCTAATGGGAAACAAAAAAACTTTGTTTATTTGCTACTATTACTAACATATTGAAAATAACAAAATGTCCGTTTTCTAACCAAAATGGAAATAAGTAAATAAATACCAAGATGTGTTATTTGTTATTAAAAAATTGCCAACCCATTCCTAAGTTGCCTTGAAGATAACAGATGATTCCCCTAGCCACTGTGATCTGTGGCAGAGCAATGCTTAAGAGTCTGCTGTGAGGTAAAGGCATGGATAACCCCGTTAAAGCCAGTGAGGCAGCAAGTGTGCTGGAAGATAAGGTGGTGACTTTCCTTTTTGTTAGGTTGGGCTGCACTGCTCACTTTCCTATAAGAATTAAGTTTTTGTATGTAGTCCATTTTCTTGATCTAGTTCTTTGTGCTTCACAACTTTAAATTTGTGGTTTAGGAACCCTGTGTGGTTAACATTTAGCCTGACATACACCAAGGGTTAACTTGAACTTTTTGCCAAGTCAGTCCCAGCTCTTTCCTATGCTACTTTCTACACATTTTCTTTTGTCAGAAAGTTTTGAAAACATTTTAGAGGATGCTGTCAAGGCTTATGGAGGGGGTATGTGTTGCTCTGTCAGCAGTGCAGTTTGATGCAGGCTGTATCTGAACTTGTCTGCACAGAGAAATGAGCAGGAGCAGGTCTACGAGTATTTTCAGCACGATGAGTGGTAAAATATATTCTTTTTCTGTGGTAGCATGCAAAAGGAAGGAGCCCATTTTAAAAAAATCTTCAGATCTGAAATAGCATCTGCAGGGACACATTTAGTTTGTAGGGAAGCATTTAATCCTGAATCCTTTCGGAGGGTGACCAGACTGAAATATAAGAAACCAGCAGGTCACTTTTTTACCATTGTTTTAGCTCAAGAAATGTGTAGTGTCTTTTCTTCTTTTTTTCTTCTTTTTTTTGACAGAGACCAGCAAGGATCTTGGTGGGTGCTGTTGTTTGGGTTTTGTAAGAATCCGCTTATTACTATTTTCCATATTTCATTCCTTTGTTGCTAATATAGGAATTTCTTTGGAAACGGCAACGGTACCAGTGAAGGGGGAATCAGATGACCCTGACTACTGTAGATTTAATATCCTAGGTAATGATAGTAATTTTCATATATGTTTATCTCATGAAAGGGTTGGTTGCATAAGTGTTGCTCTCTCCACACCTCTCCGTTTACTTATTTTTGGTCATTAAACACGCAATTACATAGCTCTGTTAGGATACAGCATTTCCATGCTGCCTATCATTTAAGTTATTCTGAAGAGTGCCAAAAGAGCTAAAGAACAATTTCATCCAAACCCGTATGTGTGTGTTTGGTCTGAAGGAGAAGTTTCAGAAGTCTTACAAACTGCCTGATGTTTTTTTCTGAGGATCCAGTGTGCAGACTTTATAACTTCAGTGACTTCCTTAAACAGGAAATAATGTTTCTAGAGCACTGCTTGAATCTTTTCTTTAGTTTGAGCTTTCTGTAACTGTAACGAGGGTAAGCTGCCACACATCTCTCAAGCATAGCTACATGTTAACAATGGAGTGCAAAACAGCATATCCCTTCATTTTCTAATGTTATATATTATTGAGCTAACATTTTTGTGCATGTTTAGATACAAAGATTCTTGAGATTATTTTCTAATGTGCTTTAAAAATAACTACAGGATTGTGGCATCAATATTCTCCTCCTGACATATCTCAAGTAGTGTACAAGCACCGTTCAGAGAGGTCTCAACTATACAGCATAGCAAAGTGTTGCCCCTCGAATGCAGAATTGCCTAACCTTGGAGAAGGAGGGGTTTACAGGCGTGATTTCATGTAATAAAAATAGATACTGGTTTGGAGACAACCTAATCATTGTTCCCTCCAAAGCCAAGTCCTCTCATCTTTCTGCTTTTCATCCCCATTGTGGTTTTACATTTCATGAATAAAACCTATGTCAGCGTAACCCAATGCCATCTGAAGGGAGTCTGCTCTGAAATTGTGTCCTTACAAAATAGTACCCATTGTTCTGCAGCGTATTTGTCTGAGCTGAAAAATCCCAGTTATACAATATACTTCCATAGTGAAGTCTAAGCAGTGTGGATTTGAAGGGGGGGATTTGAGCAGATTGGTAGAAGTGTTGGGGTGCTCTGAGTTAAAAGAGATATTCCCATGTCAAGTCATGCCAACTTCCCTGGAGTAAAGCATCTTCCCCTTCATTCTTTGAGCAGCTACCACTCTGATTCAAACCAAAGGTTGTCCAAACTGTAGAGAGCTATAAACTCCGGAGTCATATAGGGGTTTGTGTGTGCGTGGTGGTGCTGTGCAGGAACTGAACCTTCAAATACTGCAGTTATTCTGAGGTGTGTTCCAGTATTGCCTTTACAGAGACATGCTACAAAGTAAAGCAAATGGTCATAGTTTTTGCTAAAAATAGCCTACAGCTCATCCTTCCAGTGTAGCTGCAGGAGAACCAGAGCATTAAATGGTAGGATTTTAGGAGTGTTACTTTAATCAGTTAAGTGTCATTTGTATGCTGGTTTCTGCACCAGCCCCTTTTAACCAATCTGTCTGTAGCATTCAAAAGAGCTGTTATTATGAAAAGCAAACAGCCTTGGACAGTGTCATAAGTTATTTTAATCTCTCTGAATTTATGTATTTAACGTAGGTGGAAATTTGAAAGGCAAAGAGTACTCCTTAGGAATATAAATTTTACAAACAGGAAAGAGATCAAGCTGATTAAAAATTCATTGAAAAAGGGCAGAAACATCAACATTTTGTGTTTTAAAATTAGTTCATTAACACCAAAAAAAATGAAAGCCTGCTGTTCTGCATGAGTGTCTGATTCTTCAGTAGTCCAAGAAATGCACACACCTGACAGTAGCCCCTCAACATTTTTATTCTGTTGAACCAGGTAAGTAAGGACTTATAGATACTTAATATTTAACACAGTCTTTCCGAAGTTCAGCATTACAGAAAATATGAAATGAGAATATAGTATATGAAATTAAGAGTTACTTGGCAAATTTCTCTATAGGTGTTTGTTGTGAGACACCCTTTAAAAGCCCTTCTCTTTATTCCCAAGAAGGCCCTTCCAAGACATCAGACATGGATGAAAAATCTGGTCTTGCAAAAAGTTACACAGGTAGATCTTTTAGTTGTATTTTTCTTGTTTTGGAAATTGAATATGTGAACCCTTGATTTGCAATAAGAGTGAGGGTATTGGAACTAAAACATCAAAAGAAGTGAAAATTTCAGTTGCTTTAATTTCCAGGTGTTCAAGAAGAGAAACGTATAGAAGGGAATCTCATTTCTTCCTTTTATAAATTCAGGACCGAGCATCAGATTTATCACTAGGGATTTGTGTGAATAGGTGTGTTTCTCAAGAAATTCAATCTGTTTAATAATTGCTTATTAAGTTTAATAAAAGTCTGCTTATAAATTGTGAGTCCAACTTGATCATTTCTCTCCACTGCGTGTGAGATGAATGGACACAAACAGAAAAAAGTAAATAGGAAGTCTGTGTTTAGTGGAAGCAATTCCTTACTGCATCTCAGCAATAGCTGAAATACATTTACCCCAAAATTGTGCAATTTTTTTCAGCTTCTTAGTTTGTATTAAAGATACTGCTTTCCCCATTTCCAAACACCAGAAAATACACACCTGCATTTCAGCATGTTAATTTTTTCATAAGCTCAGAGTGCTCCGCCTACCATGAATTTTTAAGATTCAGAAAATGAGTCTTCTGTGTGTTGTTCATGTGAACATTATACCTCTGGATTTTAACTTGTGAAAATCCTTACATTGCAGAGTTGGAGTTAAAAGGTTTTTTTTGACATTTTACTGTAGTATCTTTTTTTCCTTCATATTTGTAAAGCCATGAGTGTGGCTCCATCTCCATACTCCATCTTACAGAGATCTGAAAGAAGATGCTCTTGAAAATGCACAAGTGCCGCATTACTGTGCCAGAATAAGTAAAACACGTTCCTTCATACCCTGCTACTTAATGTTGGTATAGTTTCTGATCTAGCTGCCTGTAGTTTTTTAAACTTTACTGCAGTTGAATATAAATTGCTCTTTCTCA